GTCTGCCGTCTAGCAATAACACCCACACCCTCACCCACACGCACACCTACACTGAAAAAAAATCCGCGTAAGGATCTATCCCTGTACTGTTAGTTTTTGCGGATAAACTCTTGAAGGGTTTGTGCTCGTGTGATAAAGCCTTCAAAGGTTTATTGAATACAGCGTTTATCAACCATAGGGTATATGAAAATTCAACGGATACATCAAAACTATGAAGGAGTTTTTCAAATGGTATTTCAAACTAAGCGTATGTTGTTGAATGATTAACCATATATCATCGTATGGTTTCTAGATAAGGATATATCATGATACGGTTTCAGCTTTATTATTGTACTTTTCTTGTAAAAGGGTTGATCACTCTACTCATTAGAGTTTATCTTTCTTCCTTTCATCAATCAGTATATTATTCTACGAGCGAAGGTTGATTCTTCTCTCCATTGAATTACAGGGTATATTATCCTGCGGATAAAACTAATCTTTGTGTCGTTCACTTTGATATGTTTATCACTGCACGGATAAAGGTTGATCACTTTCCATCTACTTGAGAAGGGTTTATCAGTGGATGAATGACAGTCTATCATCGTCTGCCTTCCTACGAAGGGTTTATCATTACACGGATAAGGGTTGATCATCTTCCACCTTTCTACGATGGGTTTATCAATTTATTCATCAGAGATGATTTTTTTCTATTATAAAGAATTTATTATTTGTAATTTAGTAATGATTAGTTTCTTATTTATATTAGAAAGAAAATTTTATGAGTAATTTGTAATGCACAATCAATAAAAGACTGTATTAACACTAATTAAAGCATTGCGCGAAAAGTACGTGATGAAATATGTACCGAAGTTCTTTTTATATTTGACATTTTTCATGAAAATATTGAGTTCTTCATTTGTTATATGTTTATAAGTCACAGAAGAAGATATCACCACCTATCGAACACCTCTGTCATTAGATGAAATATCTATGGCTGATAGAAATGGACGGACTATGCAATCAAAGAAGAAAACAATTACTAATAAGTTTGTTTTTATATATCTTTGATACTATAATGATTATTTTTTCTTTAGATACTTAAGAATTTCTTTAGATAGTTATAAACAATATTTTTATTATTTTAGATAATTTAATTATTTAGTATGAATTGGTCTTGTGAACAAGTTGTTACTTGGTGTAAATCATTTATTGATGATGATTCAATTTTATCGAGATTTCAAGGTCAGTCTGTTCTAATTTATTACGCAAAAGCATGTTTATTTTTGTCAAATGAAAGTTCGTTTTGTGTTTATGTTAACGAATAGATCGGTATTATGCATGTTAGCGAATTTTGTTATTAACATTTATCTAGGTTAGTCGTCTTACATTTTTTTAAAGAAAAGTAAACGTGTGCGTTTGTGTGGAAGAAACGAATTAAATTGTTTATCTATTCTTCGATCCAATCATTTACAATCACGTAATTTCTATTCGTCGATCGGTTTTTACAAATTTATAAACAAACAAACAAACAAACAAGATTCTATATATTCTATTATTATAGAAAACAAATAACTCATTTAATTTGAATCTTTCTCATTTATTAAAGTTATTATGTCATCATTTTGTTGTTCACTTTGTCCGACAAATCGAGGTTTTGATAGTTTTGCCAAAATGTTTCAACACATAACATTGTACCATCAAAACGAGCCAAATTTTAATATTACATGTGATTTAAATAATGCATGTGGAGTTTTATACAAAACATATTCTGCTTATAAAGCTCATGTTTATTGACAACAAATATCTGAACTTCATTTGAAAAACAAATCGAATAATAATTCGAATATTACTTCCAGTGAAAGTGAACAACAAGAAATTATGAATAATTCAAGTATGGGATTACGAACAAATAACGATGATGATGATATATTGGATTCTGTTGATGATGAAATTCAAGCAACTCTTATAGACGATGATTGTGAAACGAATATTTTTAATTCAGCATCGTTCTTTGATTCAATTAACACCGATGAAAGTATTCCTGAATTGTTGTTGATGATGAAACGATCGTATATGCTATTTATTTTGAAATTACGTGAAGAATATTTACTGCCACAGGGTGTTACAAATATCATTTCTACTTATATTGTTACACTTATTCGTCATTTAGAAATTTTACTAAATAAAAAAGCAGTTCTTCCATCTGCATATATTTATTCATCTTCAACATCATCAGTACCAAAACAAAATCAAAAAATTATTGAAATTTATCAATTACATGAAACATTAAATGGTTTATCGAATATAATCGAATCAATATCTAAAAGCAATTACCAATTCATTAAAAACTGTGAGAAGTATTTGAATTATGATTCACCAGAACAAGTGATATTATCATCACCTGATGAACCTATCGAACACGCATATTTTATTCCAATTGATAGAACAATATCATCGATGTTGAACTCTCAACCACTTCTATCAGAAATTTTAGAAAATATTCAACAACAACGAATCAGTGTAGAAAATGATTCGGATCTAATGTTGTCAATAAGAGACGGATATTATGGTAATCGATTCGATGAAGATAGTCTTTTAATTCAGCTCTATTTGGATGACATTGGTCTCACTAATCCACTAGGAGCAAAACGTGATAAACACAAAATGACCATGGTGTATTTTTGTCTGGAGGATGTTCCAGACAAATACAGATCGAAACTTAATTTTATTCAATTAGTTGCTGTTTGTGAGAGCAAACATCTTAAAGTAAATTCTTTAATGATAAACTCAATCATAAACTAATTGAATTTTGAATTAGAAATTTTTTTTGATAGCATTGATGGAAAATTAGAAAATGTTAGTTTTATTAAATATTATGCTTATCACAGCAGCTTCAAATCTAATTGTAAAAAAAATATATATATTTATTAAATAAGTATTTTTATTTAAGTGAGAAAAAACAAAAATTAATACTACCATTACGTCGAATAAATTGATATTCTCAAGATAGATATTACAACTTTACAAAATATATATATATACTAGATAATGAGTCATTCTATAACTAAGATACTACTATCATTTGAAAAAATCTAGTGTAAATATATATAGATATATTTTTTTGTAAAGTTGTAATACCTATCTTGAAAATGTTAATAATTCGACGTAATGTTAATATTAAAATTTGTTTCTTCGTACTCAAATAAAAATATTTATTTAATAAATATATATATTTCTTTTTACAATGAGATTTGGAATTGCTATGATTAGCATTGTATTTGTTTACAAACTTTACCCTATTACAAACACAAATTAGTTTTATTACTTTTGTCTTATAAACGTAAACTAAAATTTTAATTTGAGCTATTTAGTTTAAGAAAAAACAAAACATCAGTATGGTTTTTTAATATATAATATTTCTTTTTTGAGAACCATGCCAAAGCTCAGCGTTTCTTCGCGCCGATAATTGAAAATTTAAACAAATTACAATTATATGGTATTTCAATTAACGGCATTCATCTTGCATTTTCTTTTTCTGCTGTTGTTGGTGACAATCTAGCATCCCATTTCATAGGTGCTTTTCAGTGTTGTTTCAATGCTGGGTACTTCTGCAGAAGGTGTTATATAACTTATCCAGAGAAGAATTTACCGATTCCATTAACACAAATTCCGACTCGGTCAATAATTGATCACGATGATCTTGTTGATAAGATCATAAATGATCCTGATAGAATACCTTTGAAAGGTGTTGTTGGACCAAGTCCTTTACGAGAGTTAATTGGTTTTCATGCGACAACATCATTACCTCGAGATCTAATGCATGATCTCATAGAGGGAGTATGTCCAATGATCATTATTTCTCTACTTAAACAAGCTTCTGCATTACGAATTTTAACATATAGTGAGAATGTTTTTGTTATTTTTGACCCAATTCTGTGAGATTTTCTTGCATAAATAGATAATCATGCAATCTTATATACAATGAGGAAGCTTTCCTGTTAATTATATTTATTCTTTTATTTGTTTTTCATTTGTAATATTGATAAAATTATCAGATAGTTATAAATCAAAGCAATCTTAATAAAAACATTATATTTAATTTTTTAAGGGGCAGATGTAGGAGAATTAATTCCATTAAATGAAATGAATATAGAATATATCAGAATCTTTTTATATTCTAAAGAATAGCAATTTTTTCTTTAAAATCGTAGTAAATCACTTGTCAATATTCTTTTGAGTAATTCGTTCTTACTCATCTTGTTGATTTATATTTTTCACATTTTAAGTTCGTATACAAGAACGCATGGAAAACTTTCAATATGGAAAATTTGATTCCAGCAATCAACCACCTCCAATACTCGTCAAACACCTTCAAAATAATCATATGGCTGCAACAGCAGCTCAAAAGTTATGCTTTTATAAGCTTTTTCCTATCATTTTTCATGATATAGTTGATCTTTTACCTTCATTTGTAGTGTATAAAGTGTTGCGAGAAATACTTGATCTTATAATGTCATATCCATTTCGAAAGAAATGGCTACATGTACTTGGTGAATTATGTGAGACTTTTCATGAAAAAATGATTAGTCATTTTCCTGATAAAATCACGCCAAAAGCGCACTTTATTAGGGAGTACAAATACATGATCAATGATTTTGGTCCGGCTATAAAGCAGTGGTGCTTCAGATATGAAGCGAAACATTCATACTTCAAGAAAATCACAGTTAGGACGAATAATTTCAAGAACATACCGAAAATGTTGGTCACGCGCTATCACTTGAAACAATGTTTAATATTTGACTATTTAACTCGATTACAGTCTTCTCAATATCCAGTTGGAATGAGAAAAGTTCGAAAAAATTGTTTTGATATACAAATGAAAGATATTTTATTGAAACATTTTAATCATATTGATTTTGATACAGATTTATATCAATGCAATATATTAATTCATAATAATATTGAATATCCTCGATGTGGAGTATATGTTATAGATTTAAAACCATCGCACGAACAACCAATATTTGCTCAAGTTATTATGATAATAAAAAAGAAAGAAAAGTGGTGGTTATTAGTTGATATTCTTAATACAATTTGTTATGACGAAAAATTATCTGCATGGCAAATACAATCTACAACTCGATATTCTTTGATTGATTCAAATGATTTAACATATTATCACAAAGGACTGGATATTTACATAGTGAACAATTTAAGTTTTGTTTCATTTATATCACGTCTGACGTTACATTAACCATAAAATGAATATTTAATGTTTCAAACGCTTACTCTCATTTAGATTTTATTATAGTTTCATTTTTGAACTTTCATTATCTTTTTTATTTTATAATGTTCATGTATCTGATAGTATCAGATGTTATTCATTAGATATATGATTCCCTTTACTGATACATGTTGCGATTAATGAAGAAATTGGTTATAATTCATAACTAATAAGAATATGATTTGATTTTATCTTTCCGTTTTGAAATATTATATATTTGTAATAGCTATAAAACTCTTTCACATTGCATGATTTGTTTATATAACAACACATACTAATCCAGCTTTCTAACTTTCTCAACTATGTTCTTTTAAAAAAACAAGTTTATATTCTTACCATTATATTTAACTATAATTTTTTTGTTTTCCAGAGCATGATGTGGATGGATCAATGCTCAAGATGTTGAATAATGTTGAACGAATATCGCAATTAATACCGAAATTGAAACAACAGTTGATTTTCTTAGAAGAACGTGAGAAATTATTCCGAAGAGTTGATGATGGTTCAATTTCATATGATGGTTCATTATTTAATATATCTACAATACCTAAAACACCAATTTTTACTTTACCGAATGCTCAAACATCACCTGTTGTTTCACTTAATTCAAAATCACCATCTTCAATTTATTTATCAAATACAAATTTGTCATCAACAATGGCTATGGATAATTCAACAACTGATGAATTTCTTACTGCTGCAGGTGTACCTTCATCTTTTCCAGATGTATATGAAGTACCTGTTCTACCAAAAGCTTTATTGAAAGATATAGAAGATGGAAATCTCAAAAGTTTTGGTCCACATTGTCAAGGCCGACAAATATTAATCGATGCAGTAGTTCATGATCTGATTGAAAACTATAATTTATTGGAAGTTATCTCTTTATTGGAATACATATAGTTCTCATATTGTTATATATTTTATCAATCAATTTTTTTCTACTCTTTTTGCGACAATTTTTTATTAAAAATAATTCACAATATTAACTTTTGTGATCGATTATGTTATTGATTATTTATATTTCTGCGGATATAAGAAAAAAAATCGTTAACTTAAACAATTTTTTATCGAAATATGTCTGATGATAAAACGAGATTTCTCTCTATCGAAAAATTGTCGATTATCGACAGTCTCGAAAATTTATCAGTTTTTCATTCATGTTTAATTAATACTTCATCTAGTCTAAAATTGAACAATTAACATAAAACTATCGATTTTTCTTTGAAAATGTTGTTTCAATTAATGTAGAATTTCGCATTCATTCTTATTATTGATTTTTTATTAGCTATCTATCAAAAGCACAATATAATATTGTTGGTTCTGCTCTTGTACGATGTTTGAGACTACCATCAACAACAGAAAATCTAGTAAGTTGCCTTATTATTAGAAAAAAATATCATTTTTTGAATTTAAGACAATTTGGAAAGACGCATTACAAACTAAATTAAAACGAACATGTGCCGATCATCGAAATAATAGTCTTGTTCAAGAATTTCGATTAAAATATTCCAAGTTAGGATCTGGGCGACCAGTAAAACAAAAAAGTGGTACAATTGCTACACGTGATAGACATAAACAGGTAACTAATAATTAAATATTACTTATCACTTCATTTTTTCTTTTAGATGGTAATAATGCCTCATAACAATGAATTGTCTGATGAAATTCAATCAAAAGTGATACAATTACAAAGTTTTTCTCAACTTGAAATCAGTACTCAATTATGTTTATGGAAAGAAACATTTATTTTTCGGCGACAACTCGTACGAGATCGATCAACAAGTGATGTTATGAAGAATTTTCCTGCTTATAGTGATGCTGTCTTGGTAAACTAATTCTTCAAGATTATCTCTTTTTATTAAACAATCGTTTTCTATTATAGGTCTTCGAAGAAGTAAAAATGTTGATGAACATTGACTTAAGTAAAGAAGTAAGACGACAACTTCCAGTTTTATTAGATAACTTAGTCGAAACTCCTGCATTCATCAGCGGTAAATAAAATTAATAACAAACATTGATGACTAAACAATTTTTGATTTTAGATTCACCACCTATTCGATTAATAAAAATCTTATGTAGAAAGTTTGGAGAGACGATTCAACATATATTCTCCGAAAATGTAAGTTTCACCTTTTATATATATTCAAGATTTTTGCTTGAAAACATATATGAGATTAGCTTGAATTCATCTCAATCAATAAGTGATTGACTTAAATAATCAAAGATACATAATTAAGATTTAAAGGTGCAGTTTTTAAAAAAAGATCTTTATATTATTCGATGTCATATCTTCTTTATAACTAGACTGTCTCTTGTATTTGTTGTATAGTCTATATTGATTGACATGTATTAGCATAACTTATTTATAATTATAATTTTTCTCAACTATTCACTTCAAATATTAGACGTCTTTAAAACATGTTGATACAAAAAGAAATATATCATGGCATACTTTTTATTTGTTTTTTCTTATAAGAGTTAAAAATATTAGTTTTTATTTATAAAAATGAAAGACATCGGCTTTTATAGGAACCACCAACAGCATATCCAACAATGGTTTCGATCGATGATATTAATCATATTTATGTTGACTTCGTTCCAATTCTTACTACAAATTCACCAGATGATGCTCTTGGTCTTCTTATCGCAATGTATTCTATCTTTGAATTATCATTTGATAAAAAGAGTAGAACCACTCGATTTTTATATTGTATTTTACACGGTGAGAAACAATTTCTCTCCAATTCAATACGAGTATTGATAAAGGAGAAAAATATTGATATTCATCGAGAACGTCTTCAACTGCCAGCTATCTCATCATATTCTGTCTCGAACAATACAACAACACTTACTGGTGATCATCAAAGACAGTCACAAATAGTTACAAATTTATTGAATCAATCAACTGGTGAACATAATTCTTCTGTTACTAATGAAACAACAGAACCAACAGCTTCAATTGATAGTTCAAATTCAAGTACAGATATAGCTTATGATCCGAATGAGTGAGTTATATCTTTCTAATTCATTTTTTTCTTTTATAGCTGCAATAATAACAACGAGAACGTGTCATTATCTGATTGTAGTCCTCAAGCTCAAAAAAAAAATAAACGAAAACAAAGTTCAAATGAAGAAGAACAGGATGATACATTGATGAACAATGCTCCACAAGAAAATGTTGAATCTTCCAAAAGTCGTCGTGCTCTTGCTAATAGGACAAACTCAACTGTTGTACCACGAAAAACAAAACGTCAACGACGAACTTGATCCCAATGTTTTATATGTTCAAGTAATTGATCCAATAACTTTTCTCATTCGTTCTTCTTCTAAAACATAATTGTTCACACATGATTTGTTTCTTTCGTTATTTTAACTCTTTAGTTTTTCTTATTTATGTCAAATAAAATCAGATTTGAAAATATCAAATCAGATTAAATACAGTGTTATTAATATTTATCAAATTAGAGAAAAAGAATTATACATCGCAAAGATAAAGATCTAAAAAGCATTTCTACTTTCTTTCTCTTCTGTCTTCATGATCATTGTTTTTCTTATCTATATAATTCAATTTGTATCAAATGTTCAATAACTCAATAGATAAGTATTGTTGGAACATATTTATCCTTAATGAATTATTAAATTCTTTGATGCGTTATTTTCTCGAACATTGGTCAACAAAATACATAAAGCATAAATTTTTATTTTTCTTTGTTAACATTATATTTATCATTTACTTATTTAAGTTAAGTAGTATCATCAGCTGAACGATTTGATGTTAATGTTTGATTTTTGTCAACTTTCTTGTCTTTCTTGTGCATTGTTCATTCAATATTAACTTAATCAAGAAATAGATTGACATTATTATTATTGATTTCTTTGAAAATGTTTTTTTAGGTAATGTTATTTATTTTAATGATATCAGTTATTCAACAACATCACCAATCAGTCCTAAATTATTTATTTCCATCGATATCAGACAATGAACAAAATGGTAAGCGATACATTTTCAAATTTTCTTTTTTTTCTTTTGTATTTAGACATTCAATTCGAACAACAACATCGACTGACTTATATGATATTGATTTCATATCTTTAAAGGTTATTCTCTATTGTTTCATTATTAATCTAGTTTGAAGTTAATCAAACAATGAATCATATTGTAGATAATGTTACTACTCCCTTTGTTTGTATCAATCTTTTATCTACAGTTATAAACTATTTAGCGAAATAATAAGTGAAAAATTAATTTTTATCTTTATTAATATTAAACAATGAATAGCATGGTAAGTAATATATCTCCTTTAATTTTTCTTTTTTTTCTTGTTTTTATATTTAGTCCTTCAGTTCAAACAACAACATCAATGGATTTATATGACATTAGTTTTATATCTTTACTGGTTATTTTCTATTTATTCATTGCTCATCTAGTATGAAGTTAAACAAAGATTGGATCACATATTAAACAATGATGCCATTTCCTTTGTTTACGTCAATTGTTAATTTACATTGTATAAATTATTTAGTAGAGTAACAAGTGAAAGATTAATAATTTATGTCCATCAGTATCAAATAATGAACAAAATGGTAAGTAAGACATTTTCTTCAAATTTTCTTTTTTTCTTTCATTTTATTTAGTCCTTCAGTTTGAACACTAACATCAGTTGGCTTATGTGATATTGATAGTTATGTCGATACTGATTATTTTATATTTATTCATTACTTATCGAGTATGACATTAATCAAACATTGGATCATATTTCATATAATAATTTCACTTTCTATGTTACTGTCACTTTTTAATCTACGTGGTATAGATTATTTTGCAAAATAACAACTGGAAGATCAATTATTCATTACAACTTATATCAAACAATGAATGAAATGGTAAGTAACACAGCTTCTTCAAATTTTCTTTTATTTCTTTCTTTCTTTTTATATTTATTCATTGTTTATCCAGTATGACATTAATCAAACATTGGATCACGTTTCAAATAATACTTTCACTTTCTATGTTACTGTCACTTTTTAATCTACGTGGTATAGATTATTTCGCAAAATAACAACCAGAAGGTCAATTATTTATTTTGATTAATATCAAACGATGCGTAGCCTGGTGAGTTATATGTTATTTTCTAATTCTTTTTCCTTTTCTTTCATATTTAGTTCTACCACTTAAATAACTTTATCAATTGAATTATGAAATGTTACAATCCTCTTGATTACGAGTTACATCAGTTATATATTATTATCAATTCAACATTAACTGCATCAAAGCAAGAACCACATGGTGAGTGATGTTTTTCTTTTCTTATTTTTTTGCGTAAACCTATACTCCCATTTAATCAACACAAACTAATGAGCGATATAATGCGCTAGTTATTTCAATTATAGTTTTTTCTATTCTTCTATAAGTTATTAAACTATCAATGCAATGTACCGACTGATTCATATATAAGATATTCGTCATTTTTTCTTTGTTCGTATAAGTTTATCTTTATTATCAAGTTAACCTCTTTTTTTTAATAAGTAATTTAGTAATACCCAACATATACCTCGCGAACAAAATGATATAGATTTCTTTCTTATCTTTTCTTTCCATGCCATATCCTATTTTATGGTCGCATTTACTAATATGGTATATTTCCTCTCTTTTGTAGAACTGGTGAGTGACATAGACGCTCTTCGACCAAAGACATTATTTAATATAGTAACCATCGATCTCCCTACAAATTTATCTAATTATTGAGACTAAACTTTCTTTCTGCATTTGAACCTCGCACCATTTCTTTCTGTTCATGCATATGTTCTACAGCATTAAACATAATAACACCACCAGCCAGCCATATACTCATCTTTTCTGCCAATTTCACTTATTCCTCGTTGCTTTTTCTTCACTTCTAATATGTACATAGAAGCTTTGGCGACATATGCTTCGAATATGCGATAAATATCTTTAGTTGCTAAATACACGTTCAACCAAATGTTGTACGTCAAAGCATTTCTTGAGTACCATACTGGCGTTCCCTATTTGACTTATAGTTTGACAACTGTGCCTTCTAAATTCACAAGTAACTACTATTTGTTGGATCATCTTATACTTCTATCGTTTTTTATTTCTTATTTTCTTTCCTGCCTTACACTAAACGTTTCTGCCATATCTCAAAAATCGTTGTAGTAGTTGATCCTTTCGCATCAGCCATTTAAGAGTCAACGAGGTTGATTCATCAATTCGAATATTTGTTGATGAACCTTTTAGTACTTGATGAGGGTGACTAGCTACCTGAAATATCCTTTGATTAACGTTTCAATCATTCATGGAATTAATGAATGAAATGAAATACCCTTTGATGAATCTCTTAGTAGTTTATG